CCCCCCCCCCCCCCCCCAAATTTTCGATTTTTTTTAATTTTTTTTTCATAGGCCTGCAGCGGCCGACGTGCGCAGGCCAACCGAGAGTGCGGATTTTGAGGGCGCGCGCCCGCCTGCGCGTGATGCGGCCGCGCGCAAGCTCGGCCGCGCGGCCTAGGCCGCGGGCCTGCGGCCTAGGATCCTGGCCGCAGACTCGGATCCTGCGGCCGTGGCCTAGGGTGCCACGTAGCTGGAGCGACAGTTGTCGAAAACGGTCTGTTGTCCACCTTCTTGATGTGGGGGTTATCGAACAACGGCTGTCTCTTTACCTCTTCTTTTGAGTCCGGTTCCGCGTGTATGTCCGGTTGACCTTTTTTCCACGCTGCAAGCACGCTGCTCCAAAATTTGGACTTGATACGTTTGTTCACAAAGGAGTCCATCATAATGGTTACCCAAACGTCTGAGGTTCTGGTCAGCTCCCATTCTTTCTGTAGAATTTTTTCTGCCAGCAAACACCAATCTGGTGGCTCCGGCATTTCAACGACCTTCAGTAGCCAGCTAGAGAGTAGTGTCAGGTTATGGGAATTGGAGTCATTTATCCCCAAGCCCCCTTCGTCTCTTGGTTTACATAGGGTCTCCCATGCCACTTTAGAGATGAATCCTTGATTTTCTTCTGCCTGTGGCTTCCAAATGAACCTCCTTGCCGCTGCTTTGATTTTCTTCAGCGTTGCGTCTGACAACTTGCACATTCTGAGAACAAACCACAGTAGGGAGAATGCTGACACTGTGACAACCAAGGCTCTGCCTACAAGGGATAGGTGGGGTGCACTGCCCCAGCTGCGAATTCTGGTGATTACCCTCTCCTGTAATAGCAGCTCCGGCGCTGATGAACAGTCCTCTAGGGAAACTACGACCCCCAAAAATCTCTCAGCACTGTTAACCGAGACCCTTTTCATCCCCCACCTGGCCTGGAACTCAAACTCCTTTGGGAGAAAAAAGGACGATTTATTCCAATTAATAGCGGCTTCCGAGAATTCCTCATATACTTGCAAACATTTCCTCAGTTCCTCCAGTGAGTCTGTTGAGTTCTCAGAGAAGGCTAGCAAGTCATCTGCTAAGGCTTTGACTTTGCAGTCTCTTTCCTGTGCGAGTTGCAAGCCTTGTATCCTAGGGTTAGCTCTTATCGCGCACAACAGGACTTCTAGCTGTAGGACAAACAACAGGGGTGCTAATGGACACCCCTGTCTTAGGGACCTACTCAGCGTAAATTCTTGTGAGCAGACTCCATTAACCTGAACCACTGCTGTCGCATACGCATACAGTGCTTTCACCCAACCACCGAACGGTTCCCCAAAACCTATGACTCTCAGTGTGGTCATCACGAGAGTCCAGTTCACGAGGTCATAGGCCTTTTCAAGGTTGATCATGAGTACTGAGACATTCATTTTCTCTTCCTTAGTAACCTCTAGCGCCTCTACTGCAGTCAGAATGTTATCGAAGATTGAGCGGCCTTTCCTAACCTCCTTGCTAGCGCCTTTGCCAATATCTTATACACCACGTTTAGGAGTGAAATAGGCTGCCAGTTCTTCACCTCCGATCGATCCCCTTTTTTTGTATAGGAGCGTGATGATGCCCTTTGTTATTGTCTTCCCCAGTTGTTGACCAGTTAAGATGCCGTTGTACAGCTGCAACACGTCTTTTTCTAGAGTCTTCTAGCAGGTGTTGTAGAATTCTACTGGAAGGCCGCCATATCCTGGGGCCTTCCCTGGCGCCATACTCTTAACAGTTTCTTTGAGCTCTTGTGCAGTAACTGGCCGGTTCATATCTCTTCTACCTCCTTCTGTAATCCGTGGTGTAAAGGTGTCCCAGAAGCTGCTTTCCTTGGTCAAGTCCGTTTCCCAGTCCCAAAAGAATTTCCTTGTGGCCAGGATGTCCTTAAAGTAGGCAGCCGCATACTCACACATAGCTTCATTAGATTGTGCCATTTCCATCCCTTGCAGGTGAGGGTGTTGCAGCTCCCTCATAGGGGTCAGATTGCGCTTTGGTAAGAGTTTCAGAAAACACTGCTTTGACATCCTGTCGCTCACCACTATTCCCTTCTCCTTTAGAATCATATCCCATCTTGCACGCTTCTCTATCTGCAGTTGCTCCCATTCTCCCATTCTCAGCGTCCTCTCTTCCGCCCATGCCAACTCCGAGATCGAGTGACCATTCATGTTTGCCTCTGCTTCTTCAATCCTCTTGAGCATTGTCCTTTCTTCCTTGTTTCTTCTGTAGGCCGCAATGACTGAGAAAGTTTCATACTTGAGGGAGATGATTCTTAAACCTGCATCCATCCAATCCTCAAAAGTGTCAAAGTGTGCCCTGGTCTCTTGCCATGTGCGCCAGTGTTTTTCTGTCCAGTCCACCCATCCTGTGTCTTCCAGATTGGCCGTGTTCGGTATGAAGTGCCCTCGCCCTCTCCGGTTCCCCTGCGTCCAGTTCATCTCCATGATCACTGGTTTGTGATCCGACATGCCTGTATTGCTCTCACTTACCGTTTGTGTGTTCTGTGTGCAGGCTCCTGTTGCCAGGAAGAAGTCGAGTCTCCTCTTCGCTCCTGCTGCTGACGCCGCATAGGGAAACCAGGAAAAACCTGATTCCCTTGGGTGCAACACTCTAAAGATATCTACTAAGCCCCATGCTTCCTTCCACTGTAGAGAGGCTTCCCTATCCCTTCGCAGAGAGTCTACCGCTTCCGAATCTAGTCCTGGACAACTCAAAAGATTCCAGTTTCCGCCTATGACCATATGCTCAGTTCTTGGTAGGCAATACGACAATGCTCTAATGGATTGTAGTCTATCGTTCGGCTCATTCGGGGCATACATCGTGGCTACAACCAACACTGTTCCTTCAATAAGAAGTTTCAACCATACCCATCTTCCCCATAGGTCTGGATCGTAGTCTAGAAGCTCTGCCTCTATCCTTCTATGAACTAGGATGACTGTCCCCCCTTTGGAACCCCTTGCTGCCGACCAGAGCTGTGGTCCGTCCAACCAGTCCGTTAGTTGTGCTAACTTTGCCTCTGATAGTTTCGTTTCTTGCACTATAGCAATGTCTATGTTCTTGTCGTGAATCCATTGTTTCAGGCGTCGACCTTTCTGTCTCCCTCCCGTGTCACCCAGGCCCTTCACATTCCATGTGCCTATTCTAATTCTCCCCATGTGAGATGATGTTGTCTGCGGTCACCTCTTGGATCCGCCCTCCATCTGCCTGCGTTCTGAGCTCAGTTGCCTGCGGACTCGCCCGTTGCCATTCTTCCGCTAGCACTTGTTGAATGAAGTCGGACTCCAGATTTTTATCCAGTGACATTCTTTCGCTCATGCACCTCAGGAATGTCGCGGCTATCCCTGGTTCCGCAATAACATCCTCCACTTCCACATTCAGCAGAATGCACAACGGTATGCATGTTAGACCTACCGCTGGAAGTCCAGCCCAATGTGGGACTGGGATTCGAGCATCGATTAATGGAATGTAGAATTGGTATCGTTTGCCTCCTGGGGATTCCACTGTAATCTTGGGCATAATCTCCTCCGGAAACAATCGGAAGCAGAAGCGATCGGCATACAGTTGCCTAACTTTCGCCTCAATCATCTCTGGGGAAGGAATTCCCCTGAATAACGTTGAAGGCAACATTGTTTGCCCTTCTCGATTAATTAGCCCCAGAATATAGGTTTCTTGGCCCAGCAAGGTACAAATGAGTGAAAGCAATAATTTTTCTTCGAATTGCAGGTCGTCTGCATCGTGAGTTCGGACCCCGTCCGGAATCGAAGGACGTTTTTCTTCCAAATCTCGGTCCTTCCCCTGTGAATGTTCATTCTGAGCGTTAGGCGAGCTGGGATGCTCTCCTGGCACTTGCCGCATCAATCCATCTTCTGATCCATCCACCACTACCACCCGTTCTTCTTGACCCCGATCCCCTCTTCTTGCCTCCGGTCGTACAGGGACTGCCCCCGGAGTCCAGGAGCCGCCCATTCCATAATTCCAAGGCATTGGTCTCGGCTGCTGGGCGGGGAATTGATACCCTGGCAAGCCTGAAATTATCCATCCCCCTTGCAGGTTCCCTCCCGCTCGTGGTTGTTGCCACATCGGATTCCACTGTGTCGCCATTAGGTACGGATCACCCCCTCCTCCCGCTGTTCCCCCCAAAATCAACGCCGTTCCGGGATTCACTAACTGGCCTGGAATCGCCGACCCTCCTGAGTACCCTTGCCCCTGCATGAGTGTGTGAGTCCAGGGAGGCTGGCCGCCTGCTTGGTGGAGAACACGCTCCTCCTGGCGACCCACGGGTGGTAGATCTCGTACTTATCTCCTTTTGCCTACCCTGCTCGATTCCCCTCCTGATGGATTGTCAGTGTGAGGGTCTCTGGCGGCATCTCTTATGTTCCTTTCAAAAAATACCTCCCTTCTCTGTTGTCTTTGGTTGTTGCTGTTTGGAGCTTCTCGACCTTCGCCCACCCCTTCCTCTGCCCTTGGGCAACCCTCATTCTCTGTGTGAAACCACCATCGACATCGAGTCCACCACGACGTTGCTTTGCACACCAATTGGACTTCATACATCTCGCCGTCCTCCAGCTTCATCGGGAGTTTTTCTTCGAAACGCTCTTCAACCTCTCTTGCTATATCAAATTTTAGATTCATTAGTTTCGGTCGTGACGGGTCCGGCTCTGGAGGATGGCGGTGAATAATTGGGCCCATTGCTTGTGCTACTAAATCACCGATGTGAAACATTGCTCTTAGCGGCACCCTCAAGGCTACGACCTTCGTCTCGTCCTCTTGACGTCGTTGTGCGGCCAGTTCAGCCCTGGTCATCCATGGCTTAAACAACATGCAATATTCCACTCCTCTTATCACCACCACGTCCTCTGCCTTAGCTATCAACCATTGTGCAATCTCTCTTGCCTTGACAACATAAGACATCACGTTTGGGCCTTCACCATGCACCCTTCCTCTCTTGAAGCCCCTAGTAAACGTTTTCTTCCGAAACCATCCATTCTCGTATGCCAGAATAAAATCTTCCCTGGTTTTGACCGAGAGATCTCTCGCCTCTCCCTGGAATATCACCGTGACAGTGCGCTCTTTGAGCCACGCCGTGGTCAGCCTATCGATCCGAGCGTTTACTTTGAAGATCCAGACTCCATTTTCCATGACGAATTCACCATGTTTCAGGTTCTCTGGGAAGATGTCGTCTTCGTAGCACTTTGCGATGAGGAACATGATTCGGTCTTCTTCGGATACTGGAACTTCGTTTGCCTCTGGTCGCTCTTGACGATTGGCTTGATCCATGGTGCGTGGAGGTTTCTCTACTTCTCTTCCTGGATTAGGCCTACTTTCACTCGTCAATGGCGGACGCCTGACTGGCGCACGCCCACACGGTTACTACGCCTGTACCGATTCGCCATATACGACACAATCTTCACATGGTCAAGCTCTTCCTTGCAAACAGGCCGACTCACGCGATGTCATACCTCCCTTCCCACTGGGTTGGTTGCTCGGTTGATGCCGAGCAAGGTTACTACGCTGACGTGTGAGTATCATGGTGATACACCACTCGCCGAGTCGGATTGGCGTTACCCGGTGACGCTAACTTGGAACACCAAAGGTGTCGACTGCCGCGTCCCCCGGGGCCGGGAGGCCTTGGGTAGTGCCAACTCTGCCTGCTAACCCTAGCGCTTGTATCGCCGAGGCGGGATTAGCGCAGAGTTAGCGCAAGTTTAGTGGTACGCAAGGACTCCGGCCTCAAAAACTGTGTATGCAGAAATTTACTGTGTATTGTGCCGACAAAGTTTCAAAACGTTCTCAAAAAAAAAAAAAAAAAGTTTCAAAACGTTTTTCAAAAGTTTCGAAGCGGATGTACTGGGCGGTTCTTTCTTTTATGGCAAATACACCGGAGGTACCTCCGTTTGCAACAGAGGACTCGCCTACCCTGGAGTGCTTGCCTGAGGCTAGGCGGACGGGGTCGGGGTATGTGTCAGGAAAGACGGTACCCCCCCAGTAAATCTGCTTCGAAACTTCGTGAAAAAGGTATTTCTGCAACTTTCCAGGTATATTTGTGTCCATACAGGGGCGACTCGTATCCTTGCCCGCCCGTTTTTTTTTCCCCCCCCCCTCTATACCGGTCGAATTCATGGGTGTACCAACTGAGCTGAACTGAATTTCCCCAAGGTGAACATGAAAATATACATTGCCACGATTGAGAGAATAATATAGATTAAAAAAAAAAAAAAAAAAAAGGACATGCCGTGTATCTCTCCATGTTCGAGCGGAAGATTCGCTCTCATTTTGCAAAATTGGAGTGTAGTGGAAGGACGCCCATACTCCCACAGGTACTTCTCCAACTGAGTTGTGGCTGTGATCGCCCGAAGATGCGTCCACGCGCCATCGTAATTGTGGTCACGTACATTCTGGAAAGTGCTCGTGTGAGTTTGCCCTCTGAGCACCGTCCAACCAGGGGCGAGCTTTCACTAGCAAAGAGGAAAAAACGGCTGAAGGCTTTCACCATTACGCTCTACACCTGCGCAAAGCGCAAGCTTGAGCCTACGTTCGCGTGCCTCCGTTAATTTTTAGGCAATTGTGTTAATTTAATCCCGCTTGGAAATGAAAATTGATAGGTCAAGTACTTACACTTTGATGAATCAAGCCCAAGCCTGGAGGCACGAAGTGTTGATTAGATCCCAAGCGAAACGCTTGAGCTTCCAGTCGCCTGGAAGTTCAGACTGTATCATCATCCCATCTTCGCCCTTTTTTTTTGTTTTTCTTTTTTCAGTTATCAATTTTTTTTGTTTTTTTAAGCCCAACTAATTCTTTAAGTCCAACCAATTCAATTACCTGTCAAATCAGGATAGGACGGTCTTTCAAGCCTTTTTTCTTGTCATTATAGTATTACGGGGAACCCCGTAGCAGCCACATCCGTGCTCACGCCTCCAACGAGGGAACATGAGGGAGCTGCACCCACCGGAAGGTGCGATACCTTCTACAACAGGTGGGCAATACCGGCCAGGGGTCAGCCGGTAGCATCAGGACCGAGCTTCTTCGATGGGCTAGTCACTGTGCCTCCCCTCCGGTCCCCTCCGGTCCCCTCCCCCTATGAACATCAGCAGTCTCTGCTCAATGCCACTCGAGGGGGGGCAACGACATATCTCTAGGTGGCGGGTGCCAAGCTGGCCCGGGAAGGTACATGAGGCCAATGGGGATTGAACCCAAGACCTCCTGAATGCCACTTGCGTGCCTTACCAACAGAGCTATCAAATTTGGTGTTTTGTTATTCCTAGTTGTTACGAAACACAAAGGGTCCAATGAACAAAATTGTTCTATTTGAGTGTAATTTTTTTTTTTTTTTTTTTTTTTCTTATTTATTACTCGATAGTTCCCATTATTTGGAACTTGTTGTTTGAGGATGCCCTCGGGGTCGGCCCGCGGCGCTTCCGCTGTCACGTTAGCTTCGGACCAAGCGCCGTTGTTCCGGTAACGGGGGTATGTTCTGCCGGTGGGGGTACCGACGTGATACCTCCCTGGTAGGTATGGACTCTATCGCCACTTCGCCTCGTCGAAGGGCCGCCTCCAGCTATCGGTGAAGGAAGTGAGAGAACCATAGCGAGCAGTCAGCGCCGACCCTATAGCATCACAATTCGAATTAGAATTGGTACAGAGAGTCGATCTGCCCAAATTTTCTACCGAAACCGAGCTAGGAGTAAGCATAGACACGTAAAGTTGGTGACAGAGATGAGGGATGAGGAGTTAGGTGGAGGAGGGCGATCCCCCCACCCGGTGCCTGGAACGGGAGAAACCCAAGGAGGAGTTGAAGACGACGAGAGGACTACAGAACTTGTCAGGTTGTGCTATACCGAAGGAATTATTCCTCCGGATATAGACCCTGGCGGGATGACGGTTGATGGTCGCGTTGCACGATTTAAAGTCAACGTGGCTATTGACCGGGCAAAGGTTAATTGGTTGAAGCAACATACGGTGACGATTATATTCCAGGAAGGGGCAAGATTCCTACCGAAGAAGGTTAAAGATTACATTGTCCGTGCATACGAAGATGAGCGAGTACAGAATGGCAATTGTGAGGCTGACATGTTCCATCGAGGAAGAGTGAAAATAGAGAGCGCAAACATGGTATCATACGTGGCCAAGAATCCAATTATTGCCTTGTGGATGGTTAGTAAACGACATGACAACTTGACAATGGGAACATCAGAATACAGACAGGAGTTTAAACCTTGGCTAACCAAGGCACAACTCGCAGATCAAAGGAGAACAGAATATCATCTTACCTTTTGGGTAATAGCAGTCCAAGTTCCATTAGAAGCGATGTTGTGTCTGGAAGCTCAGATCAAGAAAGCCATTGGACCGGTGGTGCGAAGACACCCCACGGAACCAGACAGACAAAGGCCGACGTTGGTGAATGTCAAGTTTGACTTAGAACCAAGTGCAAGACCAAACATGAAGGACGTTTTGATGATTGAAACATTCGAAGGAGCTCACCTAGAAGTAAAACTGGCTTTATTGGAAACACCGAAATGCAGAAGATGTCGGGCTTTCTTTCATACTGAAGACCAGTGCAGACGGGCGACGCATCAGCAACAATCAAACCAGGGTGGAAATCAAGGTGGTGGTAATCTTCCCTCATACCAAAGACCAATGGCGCATCCAGATACATCAGCTCGAATCGACCCAGCGCGTTCAGGGACGGCCACCCCAACTCCAAGATCGCCCATGCGGGGGTCTACATAGTAAGACGGAGTTCTCCTACAAGATGGTCTTCAGCACGACATCAATCCTCAGAAATGGATCACAAGGCGGATTGCCCCAAGCAGGGGTACAACAAAGCGTGCTCCTGCAAGCGGCAACGCAACAAGGTGGAATGCCACATGGATTTCAACCTTACGCCAATCCGATGTTCTCCCCCACCCTTAACAGGGAAGGAGGAGGCATAGGATGGGGAGCCGGACAATTCGGAAATTGGGCGCCACCGCCATTTATCCAGCAACAAGGCCTACAACAATTTCAGCAATTTACACCGTACATGCTGAGAGGCGAAACTTTCGATCATCTGGGTGGTAACTTTGGTATGCCAGCAGGCTGCGGCAACCCCGGGAGTTTTTTACTAAGGGCAGTACATGGTAAGGCCACAGGGGCAGAAGCAGAACCACGATCATCAGTGTCGGAACAGAGCTCAGGTAGTATGGCTCAAAACTACCTCGGAGCAAGGGGAAATTCCCCGGCCTCGATGGATCCTGTCTCAAAGAGTGGATTCTCTGGCAAACAGAGAAGACTCAGTTTAGAGGACAGTGTAGGTATGTTTGTAGGAGTCTTGGAAAGAGAAGGATCAGAGTCTTCCTCTAAATCAGGTCAATCTCATACACGAGAGATCCCCACACGGGGCAAGAAAACCACTCGACGAAGAAATCCGGTAGCAACTCTTGGTAAAGGTCAAATACAAAATGTCGAAAGACGTATCATGCCCTTGTTCTACACTGTCTCTAGAGAGGCGTTGTGGACAACCGCATGAATGGGATGAGACGGGATTCCGTCGTTTAACACTCTCACCTCTCCGGAATCCCCTATGCCCACCCATATCACATCCTTGATCCAGTCGGCTATTAATGACAAATTTATGTTTCGCTTTGTCGGAGAAGAGTTAATGCCACGAATAATTGTTGACAGTCGAGAAGGGGGAGGAAAGAAACTCAAGTTGTTCGTCCCTATTCTGGATGTCAGATTTACAGCAGGGCAAATGGAAAAACTCGAGAGTGAAGGACTGCGTCTTATTCCATTAATTTGGATTCAGGAGGGCCGTCGCCAAGAGTTATGTCGATTAAGAGTCCCGCCTCTCAAAACTGCGGAATGCCTTGTCGAACTCGATGGGAAGCTGCCGAGAGAAAAGAAACTCGGCTCCCCGTTTCTTCGAAATGCATTGACCAGACCGTGGTTAGTCGGTAACCAGAGAACGCAACAGTCCACCTCGGGTAACTCTAACTCACCTCATGTCGAATCAACAGGAGGAAATCCGCAGAGGAATGCCTAAGATTAAGGAGGAAAAAGGAAAGACTGAAGACATGAATATTTGAAAATAACATTCAAATAGCCTGCCTTCAATAAACGAAGCTTAACGAGGAAAAGATTAACGAGTTAGGTGGTTGGTGGGACGACCCTCAAATCTGGTCCCGGACAAGGGGATCAAGAGGAGGCGTAGCGATCTTATGCCAGAGGCATTTGGACATGCAGATTATCGATTTTTACGCGGATATATGGGGGCGATGGGCATAGATCAAGCTCCTCATTGCTGACAAAGAATGGGTCATTGTCACTATTTATGCACCAGCTATTGGTAATGTACGTGCCAATTGTTTTTAGGAATTATGATATATCATCCCGGAAGGTGACTACACTATTATCACTGGTGACTGAAACACTTCATTGGATTTGATATGCACAAGACAGGTTGGGGAATGTCCTAAAGACAAGTTGGTTGTAACCTCTATCATGGAGGAAATGAACCTCATTGAGCTCTATAGACTAACACATCAAGAGGAAGAGGGATTTATCTGGTTTTCTAATCAAAGGGCAGATGGCGGGATCACGAGTCGTAGACAAGACTATTTCTTGATCTCAGCAAGATTATGGGAATCCTTGGATTTTGTGAAGGAAACCCTGCAACCCTTTTCTGACCATAAGCCGGTCATACTCTCCTTACACCTAACCGGTGTGGAGAGAGGGAAAGGAATTTTTCGCTTCAATACCCTGAATCTACAAGACCCCGGACTAGTAGGCTGGATGAAGCGGTTCTGGGCTAGCTGGCAGGAAAACAAGCCATCCTTTGATTCAATAGACTGTTGGTGGGATTCCGGAGTTAAAGTGTTCTCTAACCTATTGTTTGTGTATTATAGAAGTTTGGCATGTTCGAGAAATAAGACTAAATGTCACATGTTGACGCGAGTTGAATATGCTGAAAATAAAATAAAAGAACATCCCATTTCTCAGAGAGTGTGGGGTAAGGAAAGAACTCGCCTCATAAGCGAATAGGAGGACATCCAAGTCAAGAAATCCGAAACATGGTCTGAAAGACTACGGATTAAAGGAACTGCAGTGTATGACAGGATGACAAAAGAGTCATTCCTGAAATTACTCCCGTCAGGCTTTGCGGTAGCAATGAAAGAACTGACACACCCCTTTGATGATCAGTCATCGAAGGCCAAACAGTTGATTGAAATATGTGACTACGCCGTCCTGTATTACAGAGACATACTAACATCTCGTACACAGGGCCGAAACGTGATAGACACATTATCAGAAGGGAATAGTCATTGGGCAAACACAGAGGTCCGCATATCTAACACAGGGAGACTAACCGTGGACCGACTAGTGACAATGGAAAACGCCTTGAAAGTTGAAAGTACTTAAAGCGATGGCCAAAGGGAGGGCCCATGGGGAAGATGGGCTCCCGGTTGAAGTATACTTAACGATTTGGGGTGAGGTGGGTGAAAGCCTGATGAAAATTTGCAATGGAGTCCTGACAGGCGAACGATTATATGCCTCAATGTGTAAAGGGGTGATTTTCTTACTGTTTAAGAAATGTGATAGAATGCAGATTAGAAATTGGCGCCCAATATCCATCCTCAACGTGTCCTATAAACTACTGGCCAAGTTGTTGGCCAGATGACTAGGAGTGTATCTTCCAGATCTGGTTGTCTCAGACCAAGCAACCTTTGTCAGGGGCCGCTTAATCTTTGACAACATAGTGACGACAATAGAGTCACTAGAGGTTATTCAAAATGAACACTTGAATATCTCAGTCCTCTTACTCGATATGGAAAAAGCATAAGATAGAGTAAACTGGTCGTATGTTTTAACAACACTCAGATGGATGGGATTTGGTGAAACTTTCCATCGATGGACAAAAGCCCTGTACACAGCTTTTTCGGCATCGGTCATTGTGAACGACAAAGTATCACAAGAATTCGCTCTGAGCGGATCCCTCAGACGAGGGTGCCCCCTTGCCCCCCTCCTGTTTGCCCTGCAAATGGAGGGCCTGCTGAATAACATCAGAGCAAATCCAACCATTAAGGGCATGCCGACTGGACACACTGAATAAAAGGTTAAGGCCCTGGCACATGACCTTTTTGCTGCAGTAGAGAATATCACACAGTCACTGAATGCACAGAAGGAGTGCTTGGACGAATACTGCATATTGTCGGAGGCTTCGATCAATTGGCACAAATCTGTTTTGATCTTCCATGAGGACTTTCAACCGACAGCTGAATGGGGCATGAAACGATTAGAACATGGCTAGTCAGAAAGGTTCCTGGGAATTCAAATTGCACTACAAGACTGTTCAGACGGTTAGGATGAAATTTTTCTCCAAAAAGCCTTGCATACGCTTGTGACGTGGGGGAAAACTCCTCATCTTTCCCTATTCAGAAGAGCAATGGTAGTTAATGGAGCCTTATTAGCTCTCCTCTGGTTTGTAGGAACAGTCCGGTCTTTCGACAAACACCTCTATTCACTGATCCGTAGGAAAGCGGCAAAATTTTTATGGAAACCTTACGTTGAAGAACACGAAGGTTTCATATCCAAGGTGGCATGGGAAATGTTATGCCAACCAAGATAGGAAGGTGGACTAGGTATAAAAGACCCCTTGAGACCAAACGATGCAATGTTAATAAAATGGATCGTTAGAGCAATGACGGACTCGGAAACACAACATTGGGTATTGCTAGCTGAGCACATCATGGCGCAGAGATGGAACCTGACCAGAGCAACAGACCTCTGGACCTGTCTCTTATTGCACTTTTGTCAACACAGACAATTAAAATCCTCCTTCTGGAATGCGATTTTAAAAGCTTGGCGTCGTCTTAGACCAGAGGAATGGACCGACACTGTAACCAGGGCGGAGGTTCTCTCTCAACCTATCTTCGAAAATCCTAGGATTAGACTAGAATCTGGGGACTGGATTAAGGTTGACTCAGCACCGACAAGTTTTGGTTGATCATGGATAAAAAAATGGGTAATTGGAATCGCTGATATGTGAGATGAGTTACTAGGTACATGGTGCTCTCTACCCATCCTAAGAGACAAACTGGGAACAGTCTGGTATCTGCAGGAGAGACGAAACAGTGTCATCGACGCCATCCCTGACAACTGGAAGGAACTGGAAA